CCCCAAAACCCCAAAACCCCAAAACCCCAAAACCCCTATAATTGCTATAATTATTGAATTTATTCACAAATGAAACATAAAAATCAGAGTACGCCCATTGAGAAATCTGAGGGGAGGAAACGATCTATTGTAAAACTGAAAAGAATGGGGGTCAAAAACAAAATTTCAACTGTACTTAATAAATCTAAAAGAAAAGATATTCAAAGCGATCAATATGACCCAAGAGAGGATGAGTACGTTATTATTTCTGAAAGGGGAGATAATTTTGTGCACTTTCCTGTTACAAACTCTTTACTTTTGATTATAAGAACCTTGTGGAATAAAACTTTACTATATAGTAGTCTCCCTAACATCAGTGGGCTTCCTAGATCAAGGAATTCCCAAAATAGCAATCCAGGGGGATTTCAGTCAGCAATAATTGAGAAAGGATTACCAAAAATTTCGAAGGAGGACACCATCCAGACACTAACCAATCGGAAAGTTCCAAACTCAAAAGACATTCTGTGTCGAAATATTCAAGTATTTTCATATTTTCAACTGCTCTAGAATCTGAGAAATGTGATGAACAATTCGAAATATTAAAAGATAGAAAAAGGCAGGTTCTTAACCGCATGTTAGAGGAACGAAAACTGCTTGAAAAAGGGTTCAACGCCACTTTGATAGAGACTGAGGATATCCATGTCCACCGAAGATCAATGGAGGACATTTATAATCATAAGATTAAGCAATGCTCTAAAATTATAAAGGAAAAAGGAAATTACTATCCTCCAGAACTCAAGGAAGCCATTTATGATAAGATTAAACCTATTTTTGAAAGAACCCAGAAGGTTATTGAGCGTAGCAGAATTGAGCAGCAACCAAAGGAGATGCCACGCAAGGAGACACCTAGGAGTATTCTATGTTATAATAAATAGAAAAACACCTCAAAAAGAAAATCAAAAAGAGGAGCAAGAAGATAAGCAAGACTAAGAATAATATTATTTTCAAACAGCTTAAAGAATCCCAAATCGAGAAGGAGGAAGATTTCCCAATTAAATCTCACTGGCCTTCAAATTGGAGGTTTAAAGGAAACCTTCCTGATGAAACTACTAAGTCAGAAAGTTCACACGCGTAAGTAGCAAATGAATTCTATAGGGCTAAATAACTTGAGATTACATTACCAGGATCTGTTTAGGAAGATTAGTTTACGAATTATTCAAGGTACTTACAAGAGTTTATTCTTGTAGATTCACAATAGTAATGAGACCCAACTCGATTAAAACTCAAAACTACTCTAAAGGAGATTATGTAGAAATCCCTAATTCAATAGAGCAGAAACTCCCTGATAAGACCATTTTAGAGGTCAAAAGTGTAAATGCAACGAATGCTTGTAAAACACAAAGGGATTTTGCAATTAAAGAAAAAACCATAAGGGATGAGAAACGAACTTACTCAATTCCCTTAAAGTCTTCTCCTTCAGAGAATCAATTCACCATGCTAAAGTCACAATCGCACTTCCTGACTCATCAGGCCGGGGAGAGGAAGGATAAATTAAAAGCTGTTGGAACTTTAGCTGGGTAAGCCTTTTACTGATTGATTCTAGTAAAAACAAGATTAATAGAGTTTATTTGGCAAAACCAAGCAAGAAAACTCCTAAAATATCCACTGAGAAGTTCAGGAGGCGGTTTGGTGTTGATCCGGAGAAGATAGAATCAGGCAGGGTCAAAATAGATAAAGAATACCTTGGAGAAGAAGTCCCAAAGGAGCTGCAAAAGATCCAATTTGAAGATCCTAAATATAAACTAGGATTTGGTAGACGAAGCTATTCACAAGGTGATATTTCACATTTATTTAATGAAATATCATCTATAATGGAGAATGCTATGAATCCTGATACTGAGGCAATCAAGGAGGAGGATGATACAACCTCTAAGGGTAGCTCACCTAATCATCCTGAAATACTTTCAAAATCATGAAGTAGCCTATACAGTTCATTCACAGACTCAGGTATAGTCAAAATTAATGTTTTAGAAAAGAGTAACAAAGGAATGAAAATCACAACGCGTATTCCTAAAGCTACAAATAAAGATTTTGCAAACTTGATTGAGAAACTTCGAGATTTGCTAGATAATAATGAGGATAAAGTTGTCTCAGATATTCAAAGAGTGAACAATCACAGTAATCTGTCTCCTTCAGCTATAGATTGGAAACACTTATGAAGATATTACGACCAAAAAATAAAGGCAATTATGGATTCTGAGATATAAATTCAATATAAATGATAAGCTGCGGGGTTTTGGGGTTTTGGGGTTTTGGGGTTTTGGGG